AATGATTACTTAACAGACATCCTAATAATGCAAACACCTTTTATTCACATTTGCTGAGTAGCAATTACAGTGTTTTCTTCATGAGTTTTCCAACACTGGTAATGTAACTATGATGCAATTACTACCAATATAAGTACCGATACTTGGACCAACAACAATCGCAATGGTTTATAACAATTGAGCTCAAAGGTCACATTGATTTTTCCGCCCACAACTTGATTCTGATTTTTCTAGAGTCATTCATAAGAACAAGAAGTAGTGGATCCTTTCTTCCTCCTTAGTATGTGAAAATTCTGAACTCTGAAGAGAAATTCCATTTGGTTTAATCTGTCATTTTCACCTCTGTGCATTTGGGCATCTCTTCACTTTTCTTCAATTCTTTACTGGAAAGAAAAATATACAACATGTACTAAATAAATTTGAATAATGTCTTCTGACTACAACCAAATCTTAGTGTGCTCAGGCAATAGCACAGGTGATAAAAGACACTGTGTAAAACACAAACACATACAAACACAACCAAAAAAGACCAAAATACTAATTTCCTATCTTCTAGTTTGCCTCTCAAACATATTGTTAGCATCTCTTTGAATTATTAGCAATTGTTTAAGGCCTGCTCCTGCATTGACAGGTTAATGTAAGCAAGAAATAAATACAATTCCCAAATATAGACACTAAAAACTCCAAACCATGCGTAACTTCCAGAAATGAAGAGCAGGCAATCAGAGTATATGAAATTCTTCATTCAATGGGAAAAAAAAGTCCCCATGAATGATATTCAGGGTTAGTGATTCGAAAGGACCATAGATAATTTTATTAAATAGCATTCTTTCATTTAGTCTAAGCTATGCCTACTTTTATATAATTAGGTTATTACATTTTTCAAATCAATTAAAAAATGGGTTGTCTCATTTCTGATTGATCAAGATAGTAACAATTAAGCATCTAGATGTGGCTCTGATGTAGAACAAATTATACAATTCATAAAAATGAAGAACCAATATGCAGATGAAATAAGAAGTTGCTTCCTTAGAGAGCAGGTAGTATTTGCACTACAACTAGTGTGAGATAAACTAGTGGGGCTAAACCTAACATTTTTTAATGCAATCATTCCTACAGCATCGATGAGTTCTGGACTTACACAAAAAGGTTACTGTCCTTCCTCTAAAGAGAAAGGCTTAACACGGGGTTGTCCTTAGAAAACACATGGCAGTTTCAGAATGATGGCAAATCTGGTTAAGGTAGCAGTCAACTCCATCGACTACTCCTGAGAAAAGTGACAGCTGGCACATTGTGGCAAGAAAGGGCAGCAGCTAACCATTCCCGAAGGGCGTTCCCTGGGGACACAGGAGGGGTTGGGGACACCTGTGCTTTAAGGAACAGGCCCAATCTTAAATCAATGGTCGGCCTATCTTTTCATATAAAAAACATTTACACATGAGGGGCAAAAAATTCTATGTTACTTGGTGTTTCTTGATTTTAAATTTGTTAAATGGAGCTACTCCAGGTAAGCTTGTATCATATATAGAAGCCCAAAAATATGTTCCAGGGAAGTTCATGAATGCACATGAAGTTGAGTATAAAAATGGTACAGATGCCAAGGTATAGTATCACTAGGGGCAAAAAAAGTCTCCCTGTACATGAACAGAAAAAGTACATAGAACTTTCACCAAATTAGGATCTGAGAAAAATGGAAAAGAAAGCAGTTTCAATGAAGGCTGGGCTAAAGTCACACGCAAAAGGCAGTGAGGAGGGTAAAGGATCTCAGAGGAAGAATAAGAAAAAACAAAGTGAGAGGAAGAGTTCGTGGTAGCTTGAGGACAACAAAGAATAAGAAAAACAGAAAAGGGAAGGGGGAGAAGGAGAGAACAGCAGCTGGAAATTAGTGAGATGGATCCTGCACGTGCAGAAGATGCAGGACAAGGGAAATCCATCAGGTGGTGACTGCACTGTGAGAAGTAAACAGAGAAGCCAGAAGGACCTTCAGGAGAGGAACCCAAAGAGAAATTCAACTTGAAAAATCTAAAGTAGGCAGCAAAGATAACATCTTTGAGGGAAATGATTCAGACTTAGAAGAGGAAGAAACACACTGGATAGAGAATGACAAAGATGGCGCATAAAAGGGAGAAAAGAGACAGAATAAAGATGGTCAAGTGCACCCTTCGGACATTGGCCCACCCCTCCTGACAATGGGAGGAAAATCATGAGTGGCACACTGGCTTGATGAACGCTAACAGCAAAGGGACCTGAAAGCTAGGAGGCAACAGGGATGTGCTGAAAGAGGGAGAAGACATCTAACCAAAAGACACGAATAAATGCAAAGCCATTCCCTCTCTATCTTCTCATAAAGTATCTCTATAATCTAACAGAGGAAGAAAGTAACGAAGCAAAGGCCTTTCTAAAGGCTCTTGTGATGAAAAGAGAAAGAAACATTCTTCTTAGCAAGCTTACGAAAACAAGTATGAAACTAGGTTAGTGTTTGTGTGTATGTTATGTCTGGGGAATAAGATTCATAAAAATTCTGGGCCGTGGCTGGGCATAGTGGCTCATGCCTGTCATCCCAGCATTTTGGGAGGCTGAGGCGGGTGGATCACTTGAGGTCAGGAGTTCAAGACCAGCCTGGCCAACATGGTGAAACCCCATCTCTACTAAAATACAAAAATTAGCCAGGTGTGATGGTGGGTGCCTGTAATCCCAGCTACTCAGGAGGCTGAGGCAGGAGAATCACTTGAATCCAGGAGGCGGAGGTTACAGTGAGCTGAGATCGCACCACTGCAGTCCAGCCTGGGCAACACAGCAAGGTTCCCTCTCGAAAAAACAAAAATAAAAACAAAACACAACAAAAAAACCTGGACCTTACCCCACAAGACATTCAATCCAATAGATCTTTCCTGAAGGTTTACTTCTGTGGCAAGACATCAGGCTAAGTGCAGGGGAGGAAAAAAATGTGAGTATGTATTAAATAATAGCCCCTGACTGGAAGCACTGCCCATCTAATCAGAGTTCATATACAAAGCAATGTGTAAAACAGCCCTGAACTTGGGATTAAGAAGATTAATTCCTAGCTCAGGCACTTTGTAGTTGTAACTTTGAAACCTTGGTTTCTTTAAATGTAGAAACAACAGGCTGTATTAGAAAATTTTTAACAATTACGTTCATTTTGAAAGAAATGATCGAGTAGTAAATATACACTAAGTAGATAAATTAGAAAATGCACAAAGTTAAAACAGAAGAAAAAAATCACCATAATCTTACTACTCATATAATTATTGATGTCTTTTGATGTATATTATATAAACTATTTTATAATCTTTTACTTAAAAATCATACAGATATTTTCATGTCCATAAAAATACTTCCATAATATGATGAATAATAACCATATGATATTCTGTTATATAAATATTTCATATTTTAATCAACCCTTTATTTTAAAAATACTGCTCGAAGGAGTAGCCTTTTAACTAAATCTTTCCATGTATACTTGAATACTTTCCTACAAGAGATGCCTTGAAGTTGAACTGTTAGGTCAAAGACATGCACATTTTGAAAACAAAACAAAAAAAACAAACCCCAATATATTACCTAATTATACTCCACAAAGAATGGATCGATCTTATAGTATTACCAGCAGTGTAAGCAGGAACCCACGTCCCATTTTCTCATCAATACTAGGTACGTATCATAAGTTTGAAACTTGTCATTTTGAAAGGGTAAAATACCGTCTTGTTTTATTGTTTTAATTTTCATTAATTTGATCAATGGATGGTAAACATTTTTCATATGTCTGTGGCCATTTATGTCTATCCCTTTAAGAATTCTTTAAGAATGTCCTGTATACCTTTGTCCCGTCTTTCTACTGCTGTATTTTTTTTTTCTTTGTTGAAAAAGCTCCTCTTAGAGCATTTTGTTTGTTAAGGGTATTACTCCTGGCCAGGTGCAGTGGCTCATACCTGTAATCCCAGCACTTTGGGAGGCCTGACGCTTGAAGTCAGGAAATCAAGACCAGCCTGGGCAACAAGGCAAAACCCTGTCTCTACTAAAAACACAAAAATTAGCTGGGTGTGGTGATGTGTGCCTGTAGTCCCAGCTACTCAGGAGGCTGAGGCAGGAGAATCACTTGAACCCGGGAGGTGGAGATTGCAGTAAGCTGAGATTGCACCACT